TCGAAGTTCAAGAATAACAAGAGTAGGATAGTTTAAGATAGGTGCAGCCTTATTGAGACCCCAACTTATTCATTCAACATGTGACTCACAAAAAGTGAAAGGCAAAATAGATTTATCACCTCAGATTCTAAAACAGGAATAAAACAAACAAAATGACTTTCATCCAGGAAGAAAGCAAAAGTACATCCGCAGTTCTTACGGTCAGAGTGTGTGTGCTGCCCTTAGAGCCAAGTTTAGTTCTTGGTAATTCTACCCAAGTCTGAAAGGAAATCAAGATGACTGTCCACACTGACGCAAATCACAGGACATGAAGGCAATGTCAGGCATTTCAGGTTGTAAAAGTAGCAAACCAGAAATCCCATGGAGGAAAACACAGAGAATCCTATAGTCCTGATATCGTGTTTGGTGGACTGAACAAAGACGAACGCGGAGCTGGGAGATATTTGGCACAGAATAAAACAGAGTTTGAATTGCGGCTCTTCACTCACTACAAGTTAGTAAACTAATGCCATAGCACGCTACTCAGTACAATGGGTACTCTGAAAGAAGCGAGTGCTCTCTTTCTCCCCTGCTGTGAACCTGCCAGTAAACCAAAACCCTGAAAGGTTAGAGCCAAAGAGCAAGAGAAAGTCCAGCAACGTGTCCCAAAGTGATTAGAAACTGTCTTGCTTTCCTCCTATGGAAATACCAAGCATTTTTTTGTGGAAATCTGAATTCACAGATGAAGTTCAGAGTAAATAGTAATATCCCTTTTGTTTTACAATCTTGGAAATAGTGGTTGGCATGGAAAGAGCAGAGCTTACTTTTTAAAAAGAAAATTATTTGTATTTTTATAACCAGATTTATTTAAAGTTATACCAGTAATATATCTCTCTTATTTTGGCATGCAACTAATATAGAAAAATTTTATGTCCCTCTTGCTTTGTCCAATAAATATAATTTCTAAAATATTTCAGAAGTTGAAAAATTTTAACTTATTAGAAGAATTTTATCAAATAAACAGCCAAATCACCTAGGTTGAAGGTTGTCTTTTAGAATTTTCTTAAAGGGAACCTTATCTATATTTAGACATATTTTTAAGAGGCAGTAGTTTTGGTTAAAAATACACGACCTGTGAAGTCCTTTTATCTTACTGGCTGTGTAAACCAAAATAATTACACGTAACAAGTCTTATGTGGAATAATTCAGCAGCCAGTTTGAAAGAGGCTAATATTTCTGGCTACATTAATCAGAAAAACTATGGAAATGTCTCTTGGTTTATTATCCCTTTTTCTATGATTCATAAACAGACATTATTACAACTGCATAAACATGAACCCTACTGGGCCACATTCTTTTTTTTTTTTCCCCCCAAGATGGAGTCTTGCTCTGTCACCAGGCTGGAGTGCAGTGGCACCATCTTGGCTCACTGCAACCTCCGCCTTCTGGGTTTAAGCGATTCTCCTGCCTCAGCGTCTCGAGTAGCTAGAACTACAGGCAGATGCCACTAAGTCCAGCTAATTTTTTGTATTTTTGGTAGAGATGGGGTTTCACCATGGTAGCCAGGATGGTCTTGATCTCCTAACCTTGTGATCTGCTCGCCTTGGTCTTCCAAAGTGCTGGGATTACAGGCATGAGCCACTGCACCCTGCTGGGCCACATTCTATTCCCAGCCAGCTGGAACTATCTGCAAGACAGGGCCATTGAGGCCAGAATACCTTTCAGAGGTCTTTGCTAGCTAAGGTCAAATCATAAAATTATCAGATTATCCATAGCTGGGGGTAGATTCTCTCAAGACAGCATTAGTAAAGTATTAATGATAAATTAAGAAGTAGTCCACAGGTCTATAACTGCTCTATCACCTTCAAAGAGTTTTTACACACATTATGTCAGGTACGAATTATTATGCCTATTTAATAGAGCTTCCTATCCTACTGCTTCTTTTTAGAAAAAAAAAGTTTTATTATGATTCTTATTATATACATTTAAGGTGTAAAACATGATGTTTAGATAAACATATACCGTGAAATGATTACCACAGTCAAGCAAATTAACAGGTCCATCTCCTCACATAGTTATGGCTAACTCAGAAAGAGAGAACATCACACCCAGAGCAGGGAGCTGTTTCTCCAGCTCCCTCAGGTCCATATGCCTGAGTGACTTGGAGAAAATCATGTATTTCCTGTAACTACCAGACATAGTCACCTCAATTAAGTACTCTGTTTTGCTTAGGCATACCTTGGTAAAAGCTCACAGCACTAATCTGGACTCACCCCTTTGATCTTTGAAACCTGAGGCGCGAAAAAATATCAAAATGGAGGGCAGAGGAATTTGTTTTTATTTTCAGATCATCAAAAATACTAAACTGTTGATCAGAACGATCCATTAAGAAAGAAAAACAAATTCAAACTATGACTAACAGGGCCTGCTGCGCGTGAGTCACAAACTGAATCAAGCAAGGCCTCTGGAAGCAGGGGGGAAAGCATTCAGGAGCCACTTCGTACTCAGGCATGAACCTCCTAACGTGTTGGTCTCTTTGCTGAACTATTTCAACACCTGGATGAAGTCCAGGAGCAGAGAGGTCAGGCAGCTTAAAAACTGCTTCTCTTTCCTACTAAGGATGTTTTCAGTGACCTTGAGGAGGTGTTTAAGAATGACTTTCTTAGGTGTGAACATGAAAACAGTGGGAACTAGGGCAACATTTGGGGAGAGTTCTTGCTTCAAAGTTGTCTCTAAGGCATTGCGCATTCCTGCTTCTTGCAGGAGGGAACTATCTTTGCAAAGGATTTTGCAAACTGCTCTGCTTTTGCTTATCTAAACTGGAAAGAGATATAAACAAAAAATAAAATACAAAATAACATAAAGTGTGTTGATTGAGCATAGAGGCTTGGGGTCTTTAGCTTTTTTTCTCATTGTTGCTTTGTATTAAAATTCGGTCGAGTCCAAATATTTTCAGTCCCCTTGATCTAACTTGGATACTCATATAACGAGACATTGCACTCCTGATAAATATGATGATGAGTTTAGTTTCAATTCCAACTGAGTGCATGTCTCTTAAAAATATTTTTCTCCTCACTTTGTAAATTTCTCATAGAGTCTAGGTTGCTTATCTGGGGAAAATGCCTCAATACTTGATCTGACCTGGAAAGATTCCCAGTTAAGGTAAATTGATACTCACATAAGCCAGTTTTTATCATAAGAATTGAGACCAGCAGTGAAGGTAAAGAATAAAAAGGTAGTTTGACAAACGTTCACTGTGTAGGATAGCTACACAGTGCTTGGTGCCAGGGATAGCCAGCCACCTGGCAGCCAGGAAGAAAGCTGGCCTTACCTCAGAGCTTTCTTCTTCCTGGCTAGTCAAACTGTGAAAATCCTCTCTCATGCAACACGATAAAATAATTGGCTCCAAAATGTCTCATTCTCAGCCTCATTCCCTAATATTGGACAGAGGAATCTCTTTCAGCCAAGCAGCCAAGCTCAGGCCAACATAGGACGTACCTCCACTCCTTGAAGATAAAGTCAAGGCATAACACCAGCTGATTCCTTAATTGTCATTTCACTCCAGTGTCCCTCAAATTGGCATCATGTTTCCCTCCTCTAAGTAGTGTTAATTAAAGATTAGTTATTGAAAAAGTGGTACTGTGCTCAAGAAAACAATGAAAAAAGAACCACCATTTAAAAAAATGCCACCACCTTAACAATGACACTTGTCAGATACATATTTTGTTCATGGTTGGTTGATTTGTTAAGGTAATTGTTACTCCTGTTTTCTAATGACTTCTCATTTGTTCTCTCTTCTAGGACTAGGGAAGGCACTGTAACATAATGATTAAAAGCATAGGCTTTGGTGTCAGACACACTAGGATGCAAATTCTAACTATGCAACCTTGTAAAATGTGCCGGGCAGCTATCTTTCCTATGGAGCTGGAGTAATGTTGACTAATATATATGCATTTGTATAAATTAAGCTGTTAATTGTGTGTCAATATTGCATTGATATCTTGGCTCTTTAAGGACATTTGATTTTCTGGTTTAAGTAGTACCTCCTGCATGAACCTCCTAACGTGTTGGTCTCTTTGCTGCACTATTTCAACACCTGGATGAAGTCCAGGAGGAGAGAGGTCAGGCAGTTTAAAAACTGCTTTTCTTTCCTACTAAGGATGTTTTCAGTGACCTTGAGGTATTATGTATGTATTATGTATGTCATGCCTCAAAGACAGACTTGGCTTCACAACCATTTTTCTTGATAACCATTCACCTATCTGACATGCATTTATGGGGAACTGAACAGGAGTTATGAAAATAAGTCCTCAAGTCTGCAACCTCTCATACTTAACTGTCATCTGCAGGACATTGAAGACATATATCGGAGGATCCATGCTGTATATCATTCATACCTTGTATTGGTTATCTATGCCTGTATAACAAATCAGCCCAAAGCTTAGTGACTTAAACCAATAACTATTAGTGCTCACAAGTCTGTGGTTCAACTGGCTGGTTTTGCTGATTTGGTTTTGCTTCTGGGCAGGACTGCCTGATCTTGGTTGGTCAAGTTCCTGTGACTGACAGGTTGAAAGGGTGCTAGTTGGTTCAGAATAGCCTTATGCGTACCTTGGATGGTTGTTGTTGGTTCCCACCTGGGGCAGTGGGGATAAATGGGCCATGTGTGTTTCATCTTCTAGCATGCTGGCTCTTGCTTGTTTATAGGCAGCCCCAGGTTCCATAAACAGAGAGCAAGCCACAATGTGCAAGAACTTTAGTTTCTGCTCATTCATTCCAAAACACATCACAAGGCTAATCTAGATTCAAATTATGGAGAAAAATGCTACTTCTTGAGGGAAAAGCTACAAAGTCACATTGCAAGGGCATGGGCATAGGCAGGGAAAATCTTTTGGCTCTTTTTGCAGTGTACCACATGCACTTGATTATAATCTTAATGCTTTTCCCTTCAAATCTACTGACGTAGTATAGTAGGAAATCCTTGACTGAGTTCTATCTTTTATTTTCCTTTACTCCATCAGGTTTCTTCTGGGTCCATTCAAGAGAGTGTAAAAGACCGAGTGATTGACTCAAGACTGCAGCTGTTTATCACCAAGCCAGGACTCTACACATGCATAGCTACCAATAAGCATGGGGAGAAGTTCAGTACTGCCAAGGCTGCAGCCACTATCAGCATAGCAGGTAGGATGCCCCTTCACATTTGCATTGTTCCAGGAGAGGGGAGAGTTGATACTATTCTACAACATCCAGCATTGGAGAAAATCTCCCTTTTCTTTTATCTCTTATTTCAGTTGCATTTGGGCTATTTCCTCCTCCATGGGGATACTCCAGAGGTAACCTAGATATGGATTTTGGCAGATTTGCTGCCTGAAAAACTAAATCCTCAATACCTGCCCAAGTGATAGGTAACAGCTTCCAGGAACTCACTTTTTCCTTCCTTCCTTTCTTTCTGTTTTTCTTATCTTTTTTCCTTTTCTCAATTTCTCTTTCCTTCCTGCCTTCCTCCTTCACCCCTTCCCTCCCTCCTTCCCTGCCTTCCTTCCTCCCTCCCTCCCTCCCTTTCTTCCCTTCTTTCCCTTCGTCCTCTCCCTTCCTTTCCTCCCTCCCTCCCTTCCTCCCTCCCTCTTCCCTTCCCTCCCTCCCTCTTTTCCTTTTCTTTCTTTAATTTCCTTTCCTTTTTCCCACTCTTCGTTCTCTCTCTTGGTTGATCAAACTTTCCAAAGCTCTCATGGAAAAAGTTGGCAGACTTTCAACATGGTCATGCCAATTTCTGCATGGCTATTTCTTGCGGGCATTTTTACCTATGAGCATGATCCTTGTGGTCTTTCCCTTTCCTGCTTCAGCAAGCCACAGCAGGACTTACAGGTGTTTTCAAGAAAAAGGCTGACACGCGGATTTCTAGGATATTTGTGTTGAATTCTAAAGGTTTATTTTTAAAATGTAAATGTCCCAAAGGCTTCTGAGAACATTTATAGAATTCCTAGAGATGGAAATAATCCCTGTATCAGGAAATGCCAGGCATATTAGATTCATAGCATGCCTATGGCTCAAAGGTCAGGAGAGAGGTGCTTGGCCTGACATGTAAGGCAAGCACGGATAGAGCTTGTGCCTAGGGCCAACTCCCCACAGCCTGCTGTTTCTTATTACAGTGCCACCTCTTTGATCTTCCCTGATGGAGAACTTTCCATTAATGTCTGTGATTTGTAATATGAGGTGAATAAAAGCCACAGATAAATGATAAGGAGCACTGGACAAGTCTGGCCCTCTGGGACATGCCTGTGAAGGAAAAGGAAGACTTCAAAATTAAGGCTCCCTCTCCTTTCTCCCCCAGTGATATCTCTGCCTACCATGTCTTCAGACATCATGTCAGTTATTCTAGCATTTCCACAGGTGTGAAATTATTTCTCCCAGAAAATGAAAAGTCTTCTGAAAGTAAATTCAACTCAATTTAACAAATAATAATATCATATAATTAGTAATAGTAAAATAATATGATATAAATAGTAATAAGAATTACTATTTACATAGCACTTTGCTGTTTATAGAGCACTTTTACATGCATTTATCAAATACTCTAGATGGCACCAATTGTGTTGGGTAGAGTGAGAGATGAAAAGTTAATTTAAAAATGGGTCCTGCCTTCCAGGGACTCTAAATCTAGAAGGAAGTCAGTTAGTCACATATATTATGGCACAGACTGTATTCTATTGCAGAAGCATACACAAAATACAACAGCAGAACAAGAGAGCGAGGGTGTCAGGGAATCCTTGGAAAAAAGGTATCATTAGAGCAGAAGATGTGGATATGAGATAACTAGGTTGAAGTCAAACCTTTCAAAACTGTTCAAAAACCAGCAAATCAGTGGTCAAGGCTAGACCATGAGAGAGACAGCAGGGAGGTGGAAAATGGAAACAAAGGTTGAAACATGGGCTCTAGCCAGGTTATGAAGAGCCTGCATAGGTCAAGTATATTATTTCATTGATGAGAAGTCATTTAATGATTTAGAAGAAATAAGTGTAATAGTCAGATATATCCTCTAGCAAATTAACAGATGCTGAGGTGTCAGGAGGTTGGGAAGTGTGGCAAGGGGTCAGGAGGCTCTTCCAGGTGTCTCAAAAAGTCATGAAGGTCTGAAGAGCAGCAGCAGCATTGGTTCAAAGGGAAAAGGACAGATGCACAGGACAAATCGGGATAGAAATAAGGTTTGCAAATGCTTGAAAATGGCAGTGGGCTAGAAGAATGAGTTCAGATGTGTCTGATTTTGAAAGGTGCCCAGGACAAACAATAATATATAAACACAAAGCATATGAACAAGAGAAGGTCCAGGAGATAATAGAATACTCAAAAATGTTGATGCCTTTGAATTACCTGGAATTATTCTGGTCTCGCTGTCTTTGTTTGATTTGACATTTGATCAAGACCTACTGTTAAATAAACATATATTTATAAAAATCTCTCAATATATATTTAGATAGATATGTGTGTATGTATGTTTATACACACACACACACACACACACACACACAGAGAATCACATTTACGTATGAATACTCAATCTAAGAAAATAAACTGATCTACTTTAATTTACCCTGCACTTTCACTGGGCAGAAGAAAAATATTAATGTTACTAATTTTAGGAGAGTCTCATTTCAGGTCATTATTCAGTCACTCAAAGATACCTCTGCCAGAGCTCTTTCTCCCTATTCTTCCTTCCTTCTCTTTCCCTAGATGGCAAAGGAGAAGAGGATTTGTATTTAGGCAGTGGTGTCTTCTGGACACCCCCTACACCACTGCTACCCCCTGGGTCTCTATTGAAGTCTGCAGCTGTGGAACTTGTGATTTTATCTCTTGGCTTGGTTAGGGCCCAGGGGATCTCCCTGGCTGGCTCAGCCTCTTTGAGACATCTTTTGGACCCTCTGCATGTCAGCCAAATCCTTCATCATGCCCTTGTCTACACTCTGCTCTGCAACCTCGGCAGCTAGGTCTCCCTGTCTATCCCTACTGTGGCCCTGTCACTGGCCTGCTGAATTTCAACACAGCTCCTTCAGTATTCCTCACAGGGCCTGAAGCAACTTCTAGATCACTTTCAAGGCATACAAAATTTAGGAGAGATTTGGGCTTGCTAACTCAGTTCTGCTGTCTTCCCAACCCTGTCAAGCTACCACTTTCACATTAATGTTGCCATCCATGTTGGAGTAAGGGATCCCTGTGGGTTGTTTTTCCTATAGCATCCTAAATAAGAAATTAGAAAAACTCTCTGTTTTTGGCTTTTTCCTTAATTGATTAATACACCTCTATTCTAGGATTCGGGTTCAGAAAAGGGATCTATAAAATCTATAAAATATCCAAATTTTTAATTTCCCTACCTTCCTTCTTTTCACAGCATACCAAGCGGGAAGAGCAGGTGGTCAGGAATCTCTCCCAGCCTTCAGTTCAGTAATCTTTAGAGCCGACTCATCATGAGTACAAAGGTGGTTGTGAAGGCAGTGCTGTAACCACTGAGAGGAACCTAATAAAATGGGTATATCTACTCCACACAAGGGGAGATTCATCCCATGGACACAATCTTTAAGATGCTGAGATTAAAGGGCATGATTGCCACCATGCTATATGCAGCAACATCATCTCTTCATCCCTGTCCTAGCCCAAATGAGAACCTGATCCAACTCCATAAATAGAACACCAAAAGGGAAATCTGTAACCTTAAAAAATGGCATCTTCCAGCAGTAGAAAGAGCCTAAAGGTCTGAGACAGGCAGTACAGGAAGGCCATGTCCTAGGGTGTAGGGAGAGGTCATCCTAGATATCAGTAGACCAGAGTGAGGATGGGGACAATCAGCAATGGCCACCCAGGAAAAATAACATGGGATTTGCATGGGGAAAGGGATGGTGGGAGCAATGCAAAGATTGGCACGTGGCAGCAGAGAACAGCTTGCAATCTGCTGCAGCAGCAGAGGTGAGTGCCTGTGAAGAGCAGTCATCTCTGTAGGAATAACGGTTGTGTAGACTAGAACCAGCTATGACTTTTCATGAGCTTGACAATGGCAGTGTGATGGAGGTCAGCTTTAGAGTGGGGAGAAGTTGGGGACCCTGGAAGTGAGGCTTGAAGCCACTGTGGACAGAAGTATGTTTACAGTAGCTACCCAAGGAATTTGGGTAGAGGTAGAGCAGGCAGCATAAGGAGAGGGTTAACCTATAACTGGGACCTGGGACTTTGCCCTTCTGAACCACAAAGGCAACAATTAAATCTGACCATATGCAGAATCATAGTGCTGTACAATGTTCACAGTCAAGTAAAGAAATGAGAGTTGTTAACAACTGAAAAATGGAAAAGACTAAAAAGGTCTAGCATGGATATGATAAATGAGAAACATGTCTATTAATTAAAAAATTGCTACACATCTAGTGCTATTCCCTGGTATAAGACCCTTTTGTCCAACCCCTGATTTATTTGTCTGGTTGATTCTCACTGGTTATTAGGGGACCTGACACTCCCAGACCTTTCCCAAAATTTCCCCAGGCAGACCTAATAAGGGTGTGTCATGAATGTGATTGAATAAGACTTCTGATGTCCCATGAGACATCTTCCAGTTTCTCCTCCTCTTTGACCTGCTCTTGTGAGTTAGACCTGCTAGAAGCCCCATGAAGGTCCCTCGGGAATCACTGAGGAAACTACCTCCCAACCCTGGGGTGCTCTGTGGACTGATATTTTAGGGAAATGAGGCTGCTTCGATGAAAAAGTGATCCTTGAAGCCTCTTTCATTCACGGTCATTTGAAAGAAGCATGGCCTTATGCTCCCCCAGATCTCCCAGAACTCAAGTTTGGTATCTGATTTCTCCATTTCTGCTTTTGGCCCCCGTCTCTCGGCATTCAAAGAGGCTGGCCAGAAGTCCAGAGCTTCAAGTCAGACATGGCGCCTCTTTGCCATTCTGGCAATGCTTCCTTAATGCCAAACTCTGCTGTCTTCATTTAGCCATCTCTACCCTCCCCTGTGTGACTAGTACCCCTAGTAGTCAACAGCCCCCTCCGTCACATTCCTCGTGTTTCCCTTTGAAACTTCTACTCCATCTGTTTATTTGTTCTTCCCAGCAGGAAAACTGGAAATGGAAAAAGCTGATCTTATGCTTATGCTTAGGATTATGTCTAATGATATTTCTAGTGTTTGAAGGATAACCAAAAAA